TGGTTGTCTGTGGTTGGTTACAATCTTGTGTGGTTGTCTGTGAATGGCTACAGTCTTGTGTGGTTGTCTGTGGTTGGTTACAATCTTGTGTGGTTGTCTGTGGTTGGTTACAATCTTGTGTGGTTGTCTGTGGTTGGTTACAGTCTTGTGTGGCTGTCTGTGGTTGGTTACAATCTTGTGTGGCTGTCTGTGGTTGGTTACAATCTTGTGTGGTTGTCTGTGAATGGCTACAGTCTTGTGTGGCTGTCTGTGGTTGGTTACAATCTTGTGTGGCTGTCTGTAGTTGGTTACAATCTTGTGTGGCTGTCTGTGGTTGGTTACAATCTTGTGTGGCTGTCTGTGGTTGGTTACAATCTTGTGTGGTTGTCTGTGGTTGGTTACAATCTTGTGTGGCTGTCTGTGGTTGGTTACAATCTTGTGTGGCTGTCTGTGGTTGGTTACAATCTTGTGTGGCTGTCTGTGGTTGGTTACAATCTTGTGTGGTTGTCTGTGGTTGGTTACAATCTTGTGTGGTTGTCTGTGGTTGGTTACAATCTTGTGTGGTTGTCTGTGAATGGCTACAGTCTTGTGTGGTTGTCTGTGGTTGGTTACAATCTTGTGTGGTTGTCTGTGGTTGGTTACAATCTTGTGTGGCTGTCTGTGGTTGGTTACAATCTTGTGTGGCTGTCTGTGGTTGGTTACAATCTTGTGTGGCTGTCTGTGGTTGGTTACAATCTTGTGTGGTTGTCTGTGAATGGCTACAGTCTTGTGTGGCTGTCTGTGGTTGGTTACATTCTTGTGTGGCTGTCTGTAGTTGGTTACAATCTTGTGTGGCTGTCTGTGGTTGGTTACAATCTTGTGTGGCTGTCTGTGGTTGGTTACAATCTTGTGTGGTTGTCTGTGGTTGGTTACAATCTTGTGTGGTTGTCTGTGGTTGGTTACAATCTTGTGTGGCTGTCTGTGGTTGGTTACAATCTTGTGTGGCTGTCTGTGGTTGGTTACAATCTTGCGTGGTTGTCTGTGGTTGGTTACAATCTTGTGTGGTTGTCTGTGGTTGGTTACAATCTTGTGTTGTTGTCTGTGAATGGCTACAGTCTTGTGTGGTTGTCTGTGGTTGGTTATAATCTTGTGTGGTTGTCTGTGGTTGGTTACAATCTTGTGTGGTTGTCTGTCGTTGGTTACAATCTTGTGTGGTTGTCTGTGGTTGGTTACAATCTTTGTGGTTGTACATTACTCAGTAATGCTCAGTAGAGTAGGTGGAAACTAGGGCTGTACCGAATAGTGGACCTAATAACTAATCGAGTTGCGGTCGGGCCGAATACGAATAGTGGTCACCTTACTCCCGTTTCTGCAAACACTGTGATCGACTGAAATAACTCTTTCATTAACACAATAGTTTCCGTTGCCTTAGTCTGTCGTAGCGGGGGAAACTGCGACCCGGTTGCGTGGTACAAACTGCATAAAATGCCAACCGCAGTGTGTGTGTCTGTGAGTGTGTGTGTGTGTGTGTGTGTGTGTGTGAGAGAGAGAGAGAGAGAGAGAGAGAGAGAGAGAGAGAGAGATGAGGAAAGAGAGAGATCATCCATTTTTTTTTCAGTGTCTTCGCCCAAATTAAATTTGAAGATATTGCTAACGAGAATATGAAGGTGCGTTTAAATTTACATCGAACGAACGGCCAAGCGAACGATGGTTTTGGATGAGGCGGGAGCCCGAAGACAACTAATCACAGACATCAGAAGGAGACATTCGTCATTTTTCAGCCATGTTATGAGAAGAGGGAAAATGGAACATGTGGTGACCACTGGAAAGATCTGTGGAAGGAGGGATAGAGGGAGACAAAGATAGAAGATTCTTGACAGTCTTGTTGCATGGCATGGAGGTGCGTCAGCACACGAACTGATACATGCTGCAGGAGATCGCAGATTGTGGCGAGGCATGATCGCACACGCCAGTCGGCAAGTCACCTGATGATGATGATACACTATTCGTATTCGTATTCGGCCGAATAGTTGACCCCACTATTCGTATTCGGCCGAATAGTGAAAATCACTATTCGGTACACCCCTAGTGGAAACCCAATCTTCTTCAGTGCATTGAACAGACTTTTTCGACTAACCAAATCAAATGCCTTGGTAAGATCAATAAAAGCAACATACAGTGGTTGATTTTGTTCGCGGCATTTCTCCTGCAACTGTCATAATGAAAATATCATATCAGTGGTAGATCGGTTCCCACGAAAGCCACACTGGGACTCTGGGTAAACGCGATCCCCTAGGATCTGGAGTCTTCGCAGAACAATTCTCGCGATCACTTTTCCAACAGTACACAGCAGTGATATTCCCCTGTAGTTATTCCAGTCACTCCGATCATCCTTGTTCTTGTGTACTAGAAGCAAAAGAAGAAGGGTTAACTTGCATCGTAAGAAAAGAGAAGAGAAAACTTTAAAGTATAATATAGAAATCTACTCCTTGAAATCTCCTCGACTCCGAAGCTACAAGAGCTTTAAACAATGTCACGTGGCGAGTGGCAGCCAACATCCCAACCTCAAGCAGAACCAGTAACAAGAAGAAAAAAAAAAGTTTAGGCGGGGAAGAGATCAAGAATATCTCACTCTGACAAGAAATCTTCTGTGTGAAGTCTATATCAGCCAAGCAACAACTAAACTAAACTAGGCACACTAACTACAAATCTTGAGCTAAACGGAAAACAACTGGAACTATGATTACTACATTGGACATCCGTTTATTTTACTTGACATAACATCAGCGTGGTCAACAAATAACGACATTAACAACAACACACGTGCTCGACCAGAGTCTAAAACATGAATCATCTCCAGCTAAACAGGAAATATTGATAATGACACCATACGCTCAGCGAGATTACCTCAACCACTGGCAAAAATCGAAACATATTTAACGTGTGCGTTAAGTTTTAATATGCCAACAAATCACTTATAGCGACCTGCCATCAAACTATCGCCTAGCAAGAATACAAAAAGGAAATCAATTCAAAAACCATCTAACCAACTGAACGTACCGTGATCACGAGCCAATCTAGCGTCGCCCAGCCAGTCCGATCTGACACACCTGACCAAGTGCAGTCAACAACGACAAACAGGGCGCTTGACCGTAGCAAGCCGGAGCGACCGCCAAATTAGAAGAAGGCAACTAAACTGAGTCAGTTCCTTTTTATAACCCCTGTGGCCAGGTTTTTACCGCGTTACCGTCCGAACCTAATAGCTGTTCCTGTTCATTTTTAAACCAGATTAAATAAAATCGTTGAGCTGTAGTCTTCGTCGTTATTACCCTATTAAACTTGTGCAAAGTTATGATGTTTGCGTCCTTGAAATCTTGCGGAACCTCTCCCTCTTGCCAGCAGAGTGTTATTAGCTGATGGATGTGTGGTGATTTCAATAGGAATTCCATCTTTGCCTGGGGCTTTCCCTGAAGCCAGTTCATCAATAGCATTCACAGCTTCTACAACTGTTGGAAATGTGTCCAGATAGTCAAGAGTTGGTAGCGTCTCCATGGCATTAGGAGCACCATCTGCTAGTGCAGTAACTGAGTAAAGCCCCAGATAATGTTCCACTCATCTATTTAGCTGCTTCTTCTTGTCATTAATAATCTCCCCATTCAAATTCTTTAGTGGTGCACTTTTTTTAAAATTGTAGGACCGATGGCCTTCTTGATCCCCTCATACATGCCTCTGATATTACCACCACTGCTAGCATTTTGAATGCTTTCACATAGGTGGATCCTGTAGTTATTAGCCATTGGTTGCTTTCAATCTTGTCTGGTCGGTTACGATCTTGTGTGGTTGGTTACAATCTAGTGTGGTTGTCTGTGTTTGGTTACAATCTCGTGTGGCTGTCTGCGTTTGGTTACAGTCTTGTGTGGCTGTCTGTTTGGTTACAATCTTATGTGGTTGGTTATAATATTGTGTGGCTGTCTGTGTTTGGTTACAATCTTGTGTGGGTGGTTACAATCCTGTGTGGTTGGTTACAATCATATGTGGCTGTCTGTGGTTGGTTACAATCTTGTGTTGTTGGGTACAATCTTGTGTCGTCAGTTACAATCTTGCGTGGTTGTCTGTGGTTGGTTACAATCTTGTGTGGTTGTCTGTGGTTGGTTCAATTTTGTGTGGTCAGTTACAATCCTCTGTGACTGTCTGTGGTTGGTTAAATCTTGTGTGGTTTGTTACAATCTTTTGTGGGTGATTACAATCTTGTATGGCTGTCTGTGGTTGGTTATAATCTTGTGTGATTGGTAACAATCGTGTGTGTTTGTCTGTGGTTGGTTACAATCTTTTGTGGTTGGTTACAAGTTTGTGTGGTTGGTTACAATCTTGTGTGGTTGGTTACAATTTTGTGTGGTTGGTTACAATCTTGCGTGGTTGGTTACAATCTTGTGTGGTTGTCTGTGGTTGATTACAATCTTGTGTGGTTTGTTACAATCTTGTGTGGGTGGTTACATTCTTGTGTGGCGGTTGTGGTTGATTACAATCTTTTGTGGTTGGTTAAAATCGTGTGTGGTTGTCTGTAATTGGTTACAATCTTTTGTGGTTGGTTACAATCTTGTGTGGTCGCTTACAATCTTGTGTGGTTGGCTACAATCTTGTGTGGTCGCTTACAATCTTATGTCGTTGGTTACAATCTTGTGTGGTTGCTTACAATCGTGTGTGGTTGTTTGTGGGTGATTAAAATCTTGCTCTTTGAACGGAGGGACATTTACAAACAGCGGGACTGGTGTGTCTCTAGACGTACCTGGTGAGGGTCTGTAGTGTCACCGGTGATAGTGGAAAAGGTTACAGTCTCTTGTTGCGACTGACGTGTTTGATGCGCTGACGTGTCTGATCCGCTTGCCCTTAGTTCAATAATTGCGGGAACAGTAAACAGCTCTTCAGTAACACAGATCACATAGCAGGAACTCCCGGTCGTCCACAACACTCTCAGTACAGACGTGTTCACAATCCACGGAAACAATCCAGTGTAGCCGGTTAAGGGTCAGCGATCCTGCAGCTCAGCTTGTGTTTTGCAACATGTCCACATTATCCGAATGTGGTTCTACTGGATCAATGGTTATAATCTGGCTTTCCCGTAACACTGATGTTACGATATCCACATTACTGCCTTCTAGCCGAGTCCTTTCAGAGACACAAGTGCTGGGCTTGTCCGTGCTCTCACAGCCGGGACGAGGAATATGTCTTGCCTGGAAGTCAGCGCGGTACTCGCGCAGAGTTGCCCGCATTCTCTCAATTTCGTGTTCCAGTTCAGAAGAGTAGGCTTGCCACTGAATGAGATTACTCTCCAGATCATTAACACGACGCTGTACTTTCCTGATCTCTCGGTTAGCCCGCGTCTGCACAGATCTGATGACACCACTGATGATTCTTGTCACTCGCCAAAGGCGCAGTATAATTAACAGTCCCACGCCTGCGGAGGCGTCATCACTGTGTCCGAACGTCAAATCCAGAGCGAAAGAAATAACCACCACAACAGCGTCAAAAACTTCCATCTTGTGTGAGAAGAATGACAAGCCCATCACGTAGATGCGCAGGAGAATCTCCACTAGGAATATACCCAAGATGAAGAGGCCACTGTAAGATAACACTGGTGGAAGAAAAGCCAAGTTGTCACCAAGTTGAAGAATTGTTAGATCAATCGCCAGCTCCAGTAGCACCACAATACAGTCCACAATCACCAGTACCACGACTAACACCATCAACTTTTGAGAATTGATGATTAGACCCAGCTTCTGCCTCAGGGACCTCCCCGAACTGGGGATGTCCTCACGATCCGTACTGCCATCACTGGCGTCCATTTTGTCACGGCAAACGGATGTGGCACCATTGAGGTGACCGTCGTGTACAGAGAGTGCAGGACAGCAGCAAGTGCAGGACAGCAGCAAGTGCAGGACAGCAGCAATTGCAGCTCCACCAGCCGGTCACTGGCCATTTTGTACTCTTTTTTTAAAAACTGTTATTGAGTGTAATCTCTGTCTGTGTACAAAGTGTTGCCGTGTGTTTTTGAATTGTACCTCTGTAGTACAAGTGTTGCCGCTTGTTTTTGTATTGTACCTCTGTAGTACATATGTTGCCGTGTGTTTTTGTATTGTACCTCTGCATTACAAGTGTTGCCGTGTGTTTTTTATAGTACCTCTGTAGTACAAGTGTTGCCGTGTGTTTTTGTATTGTACCTCTGTAGTACACGTGTTGCCGCTTGTTTTTTGTATTGTACCTCTGTAGTACAAGTGTTGCCGTGTGTTTTTGTATTGTACCTCTGTAGTACAAGTGTTGCCGTGTGTTTTTGTGGTGTACCTCTGTAGTACAAGTGTTGCGTGTGTTTTTGTATTGTTCCTCTGTAGTACACGTGTTGCCGTGTGTTTTTGGTATTGTACCTCTGTAGTACACGTGTTGCCGTGTGTTTTGGTATTGTACCTCTGTAGTACACGTGTTGCCGTGTGTTTTGGTTTTGTACCTCTGTAGTAAAAAGTGCTGCTGTGTGTTTTGGTAATTGTACCTCTGTAGTCAAGTGTTGCCGCTTGTTTTTGTATTGTACCTCTGCAGTACAAGTGTTGCCGTGTGTTTTTGTATTGTACCTCTGTAGTACAAAGTGTTGCCGTGTGTTTTGGTATTGTACCTCTGTAGTAGAAAGTGCTGCCGTGTGTTTTGGTATTGTACCTCTTTAGGACCCGTGTTGCCGTGTGTTTTGGTATTTTACCTCTGTAGTAGAAAGTGCTGCTATGTGTTTTGGTATTGTACCTCTGTGGTACAAGTGTTGCCGTGTGTTTTGGTATTGTAACTCTGAAGTACAAAGTATTGCCGTGTGTTTTGGTATTGTACCTCTGTAGTACAAAGTGTTGCCGTGTGTTTTGGTATTGTACCTCTGTAGCAAAAGTGTTGCCGTGTGTTTTTGTAGTGTAACTCTGTAGTACAAGTTACGCCGTGTGTTATTGTATTGCTGAGCGAAGAAATACAATCTAGAATACAATCTGGAAATAAAGTATACTATGCCCTTTAACATCTGCTAAAGTCAAAGTGTCTGTCTCGCCACACCAAGATCAAAATATATAAAACGTTGGTAAGACCAGTCTATTTAAATGGCTCTGAAACTTGGAGCACAACTAAAAGAGATGAAGCCTTAATACAGGTTTTCGAAAACAGAGTCTTACGAGGAATCTTTGGATCCATCAAAGATGCAAACAGCGGCGAATGGAGGGTAAGAAGAATCAGCGAATTTTATAATCTGTTTAAATCACCATTAATCACTTGCATCGTGAGAACTAATAGACCTATATGATTGGGTCAGAGAAGAAAAAACTGTATTCACAAGCCAGATGAATGGTCGTAGACCACGAGGCAGACCAAGAAGAATATGGAAAGATAATGTCTAGACCTGCAAATACTTGGTGTCACCAGCTGGAAAAAGAAGGAAACCGAAGAAATGAGTGGAGGCGCGTGATGTCTGCAGCAATGAACCTTAAGGACTCGGAATGCTACTGAAAAAAGAAGAAGAAGAAGAAGAAGAAAAAGAAGAAGAAGAAGAAGAAGAAGAAGAAGAAGAAGAAGCAGTAGCAGCAGCAGCAGCAGCAGCAGCTCATATCCGGGTTCCTCGACCGGATTCTGCAGCGCCTGGTCGTTGATCTAACGTCTTATATCAAAGATACCAACCATGCCATCTCTATCTTTCAATCTATGCGGCTCACCTCTTCTTCCAGGTACCACATCTTCACTTTAGAAGTTACCTCCCTCTTCACCTTTATACCACATTCGGATGGCCTCCAGGCTTTGCGGTTCTTTCTAGATAACAAAGTTAGTCCTGCCATAGCCACCGACCCTTTGATTCGTCTGGCCGAGTTAGTGCTCACTCTAAACTCGTTCGAGTTTAATGCCCAGTAATTCAACCAGATCAGCGGTGTCGCTATGTTGACCAAGATGGGACCAGCTATGCCTGCCTTTTCATGGGGCACCTCGAGCACCAGATACGTCATGCATATACCGGTAGGCTCCCCGAGCACCTGATACGTCATGCATATACCGGTAGGTTACCTCGAGCACCAGATACGTCTAGCATATACCGGTAGTCTCCCCGAGCACCAGATACGTCATGCATATACCGGTAGTCTCCCCGAGCACCTGATACGTCATGCATATACCGGTAGTCTCCCCGAGCACCAGATACGTCATGCATATACCGGTAGGTTACCTCGAGCACCAGATACGTCATGCATATACCGGTAGGTTACCTCGAGCACCAGATACGTCGTGCATATACCGGTAGTCTCCCCGAGCACCAGATACGTCATGCATATACCGGTAGTCTCCCCGAGCACCTGATACGTCATGCATATACCGGTAGTCTCCCCGAGCACCAGATACGTCATGCATATACCGGTAGTCTTCCCGAGCACCAGATACGTCATGCATATACCGGTAGTCTCCCCGAGCACCAGCTACGTCATGCATATACCGGTAGTCTCCCCGAGCACCTGATACGTCATGCATATACCGGTAGTCTCCCCGAGTACCAGATACGTCATGCATATACCGGTAGTCTTCCCGAGCACCAGATACGTCATGCATATACCGGTAGTCTCCCCGAGCACCAGATACGTCATGCATATACGGTTAGGCTACCCCGAGCACCAGATGCGTCATGCATAAACCGGTAGGCTACCCCAAGCACCAGATACGTCATGCATATACGGGTAGGCTACCCCGAGCACCAGATACGTCATGCATATACGGGTAGGCTACCCCGAGCACCAGATACGTCATGCATATACCGGTAGTCTCCCTGAGCACCAGATACGTCATGCATATACTGGTAGGCTACCTCGAGCTCTACAGGAAGTCTACTGATGATTGCATTGGTGTCACCAATATGCCCCTACAGGAACTGTAGAACTTCATTTATTTTTTCTCCAACTTTCATCCCATCATCCGATGTATTTCTTGCATCTCACCTTCGTCGGTGCATTTTCTGGATCTCACTGTCACTCTACAGGCCTCAGCACCTGGGTGTACCATAAGCCTCAGCACCTGGGTGTACCATAAGCCTCAGCACCTGGGTGTACCATAAGCCTACCGACTCCCACGCTTTTCTTTACACGTGCACCCATCCCTCTTCTTGAAAGGACTCAATTCCGTTCTCCCAACTTCTACGGCTCCGCAGACTATGCCAGGGGAACGACGACTTTCACAACAAGGTCCTGGAAATGCTGGACTTCTTCCGGCTGCGAGGGTATCCTGAACATGTCCTATCTGCCGCCTTTCACCGAGCACGGTCTTTCCATCGTGTCGAGGCTCTCGTTTCCAAGTTTAAACGTCCCCACAACAGACCTATCCTCATACTTACCTACCACCCTCACAACATCCGCGCCAACAATATTTTCCTCAGGCATTTCTCCATCCTTAAAGCCGACCCTGCCACCATCACGATTTTCTCTGTACTTCCTTTACCTACCTACAGGCATGAAAGTAACTTTAAGGACATTCTAGACAAGAGTCGGTTACGTCCCGCATCTGAGTCCCAATTTTGCACGGTCGCTTGCCACAGACCTGTATGCAGAACCTGTCCATATGTGGTCCAGGGGACTAGTCTAGAATTCCCGAACGCCACTTTCCACATACATGAAGCATTCTATTGTACCAGCCGCAATGTCATTTATGCCATCAACTGCATGATATGTGGCATGAAATTCATTGATGAAATGGGTCTACGGCTGGCTGACAGGTTCAGACAACATCTTTTGGATGTGCAAAATGGTTCCCTGAAACCAGCACTGTTGCACTTCAATCCCAGGATCACCAATGTGGACATGGAGTTGACAGCCATTAAATCTAGCCACTCCAACGACAGAATCCACAAGTCTCTTAAGAATCGCTTTATTTACACTTTTGGTACTTTAACACCCTCTGGACTGAATTGCTAACACAGTTTCATTTAAACACCTAGGGAATTAAACTGCCCTCACAGCTTTATCTTAAACCCCCTAGCTATGGCCCCTGGTACTCCATGGGGGTATTTATTCCCCTAGCCTACGCGTGTCGGCAGTCTGCAGAGAAACCATCAACCCGGCTGCTTTAAGGTACCAGCTAAGCGATTTTGTGTATCAGTGTGGTATTGTTTGATTTGTGTCGGCTGATGAAGGCTCCATAGCCGCAACGTTCACGTTTTGTTTGTATTTGTAATATTGTTGCTTTTATGCATCTGATGTGTAACTGTTGCTGTCATGGCCCCCTCAGACTTACTGATGTGTAACTGTGCTGTCATGGCCCCTCAGACTTACTGATGTGTAAACCTCACATTGCTGTCATGGCCCCCAAGGACTTACTGAGATGCTTCTGTCTCCAACTGTTGCTGTCATGGCCCCCTCACTGATGTGTAACCTGTTGCTGTCATGGCCCCCCAATTACTCACATGGATGTTCCAGGGCCATTGTAACTGTTGCTGTCATGGCCCCCTCATACTCACTGATAACTGTTGCTGTCATGTCCCCAATACTTACTGATGTGTAACTGTTGCTGTCATGGCCCCCAATACTCACTGATGTGTAACTGTTGCTGTCATGTCCCCCAATACTTACTGATGTGTAACTGTTGCTGTCATGGCCCCCAATACTCACTGATGTCTAACTGTTGCTGTCATGTCCCCCAATACTTACTCATGTGTAACTGTTGCTGTCATGGCACCCAATACTTACTCATGTGTAACTGTTGCTGTCATGGCCCCCTCAGACTCACTGATGTGTAACTGTTGCTGTCATGGCCCCCAATACTTACTGATGTGTAACTGTTGCTGTCATGGCCCCCAATACTT